GAAAGAATAGTTAGGGGTAAATTCGTGACGGACCGCCCGGTCTAACGACCACGATTTTTCAATATGAAAAATGACCGTTTTAAGTCCGAATTAATCATTAATCCATCGAAAGGAGCAAAGAGCATTAGAACCGAGGCGGCCGGGCCTCGTCAATTGTCTAACAATAGAGCAGCGATATGTAGAGAAAACGCGGCGCGCGCGAGATTAAGCAATCTATCAGAGTCGCGGTGGGCTTAGCGCCCGTACAAATCTTTGTCACCGGCCACTAAGATCCATTAATATCGAAACACAAAACGGCCGTGGCTAATTGACCGACCATCGGGTTTTAAACCGCTTCGAATATCACCTGTTAATGCGCGAGTACGAAAAATAATATTAAGTCCATTAGGCACTCGAAGTATCGCTCTATACCCTTGCTCGCAGCGTCCGAAAATCAATAATTTGATAATTTATAACCCCTAATCACAATAACGGCTCGAAAAGGGTCCTCTCCTGCGCCCCCGCTCGTCCCCTTACATGCACGCTCACACATACATCTCGACAATCTATTGTTTCAAAATCCACGTCTCGTGTCCTGCTCAAGTTGATCCAGAGCAGTCCTAAATGAAGGGTCTACCCTTTAAATACCCCCTAAAATTCAGACAGCTACCTGCGAAATATCCTTAAATATCCACAGATTTATTCCACGTGGTTAGTAAATTACCTACTCATCGATATCAAAGATTGTTTCGCGTACGAATTTTCGATTTTCTGTTCTAAAAAAGCACGCCTCTGCGATTCCTTCGAGGACTATTTCGTTAGCGTTGATTAGTTATACTGGATGTCACGTGTATAGTTCTCTCTTCGGTGATATATGAATCGAATCATATATCAAACAATATCAGGGCTAATTCGAATCGCTTCGCCGTGGAATTTGCGATTTCGTGGGACATGTCTTGTCCATCGGAAATGTAGAGGGTGGACCGCGACAGCATTGCTCGGTGAATTGAATTGTCAGGAGCTAGTAGCGGGGAAATCCGTCCTGTAGACGCGGGCGAATAAGAGAGAGGAGAGGAAAAAAAAAGGATTTTGACGGCGACGGCGAGTGACGATAGATGAATGAATTAAAACAGTGGCCGTGGGTGGACAATACAGCACAATAGATTCGCGTTTCCTACGCTAATGATGGATTTCTGTTTTTTGTCTTAAAATAACGGACGCGTCAGCAAAGGTCGGCCATTTGTAAGTATTACGCTTTTGTTTTCGGACGATTCTTGATCTTTGACAAATGTCACTGGAATGGAAACGTCCCTTTCCATAAAAGGGATCGCAAATTATCATTCCCTCGATACAGAAAGTTCTCGTTTAAACATGGATTATAGGAGTTCTGGATGAAAATTGCCACATGCATTTTCATCGGTTAATTATTTAAAATGGAAGCAAAAAAAATGTTCACTTCGCGGACCGTGGAGCGTTTTTTATTCGTTATTTCCTTTTATAAGTCATTTGTCGCGCTCGAAGGAGTTCTCGAGACTCACTCGGACAGTCTGAGACATTTCTTCCAATACAAGAACAATGGAAGCGAAATTACAGCAACGAAGAAAAATAGATTTAATACCGCATAATCAATAGATTTATCGCGGAATAAATCTCTTCGAAACTATTCAGTAATATCCAGCCATCCCTTTTATCCGACTGGTATAGGGAAAAACGGCTTCCTATTATTTTACAATGTTTATAGTCAATTACCAATTCAAGGGATACCGTTTCAATCACATAAAATGACATAAAAACGTCAAAGAAACAAAAGAACGAAGGCTCTGCCCGTCGGGGATCTCGACGTTCGACTGTTTTTTTATGAATTTTATTGAATCTCGACGGGTGTGCAACCCCTATACGTCAAATTCGGATGCAACAGGATTTTTTTTTTCGGTTTAATTTTTTGTTTCGTCGTTCATTGTGCGCCGTTTAGATCGGAGATAATGGAGGATTTTTAATCGATCGGATCCTTTTTTTCGTATTTTCACGTATTTGAAGGTCGGTCATTCCGCTGTGATTGATCTGGGAAAATATAATAACAAACAGGTGGCTCCGGTTTGGGAAAACACGTCAGAAATAATTACGAGAAAGGATTCTCGAACGGCACGAATAGTTCGAATTAAAATGGAAGACGCTTCGGGATGATTTATAAAAATGGGAGATGCTCTTCGATTTAATTAAATATTCGGGAATCCGAGCGGGCGATTCAATCGAAGAGACCGATAAAAATTAACTGCGTCGTATGGGAAAATTTAATACCGCATAAACAATAGCAGGTAGACGATTTTCGATTCGAAAAAATTATCAAAAAGGAATCATAAATATGTAATAAGTGCGTTCGTTTCGGTTTCTGTGGATTCTTTTATTGTCAATGGTTGTTAGAAGCACAAATGAGTGGAAACAGCAGCGTACTTTTCATCTTTTAAGTAGGCAAAAATTTTTTAAAGTATTATATGTACCTACAGAAAAAATTCAAATAGAAGAAAAACATAAATGCATTATAAAATCATTCGTAAATAAATAATTTAATTCATTAGGTAATATATGATCAAAAATGGTGATGCTAAATAAAGGAAAATTTTATTAATGTAATTAATTTATATTAATTAAAAACTAAGGGTAAATATTAATGCAGGTACCGCCCCTGTCAGGACATTTATGACAATTTACTGCTATAGCGTAAATTCCAATACCTACTTTAACCGTCAACAGTTCGATATTCTCCTTTCGTTATTCCTTTTTTGTCGATGTTGCTTAGGCATTCGAGCCATTACCATTTCTCTCTTCTTTTTTTTTATAAAAATCTCAGATTATCTGATGATTGTTGAGGCCAACGTCGAAAATAAACTGCTACATTTATCATATTTAATGGAAAGATATAAAACCGAAAATTTACATACGAATTTTTGATTATGTTGGCCGAAATTTCTCCACCCGGTAAGTCAGGAAAAGGCTGATATTGCCAATTCCCTTCGGCCAGAAAGGCGTCCTGCATTCATTTTCGGTTATCAATCACTCCGTAACCCTTTTGCCCGTTTCGGGGACACTTCTTACCCCCTTCTCCCGTGACACCACCCCCGACGCCCTTACGTTATACACGTCAAGGCATTCTAGATGATGTCCATATCTCATTCCTTTATATGGACGTATACCCAATATTCATAGCCTCCTGCATTCATTACGGGCGAGCGCGATGAGATTTCGTTTTGAAAAGAAAATTTTATGTATGTAGTTTGTGCCGGCGAATTTCTAATCTGAGGTCCGAGCACGGGGTTGCGCTTTTAATTTAAAGATTAATTTCAGCTAAGGGGCTTATCAATTTTCCCGGACTTTCCGAAGATCCTTTGAAGATGTGTTGAATAAATTTACTCATGTGGATTTCATTAAATTAAGTTACATAAAAATGCAGGTGTTGGTGCAATATAATTAGAAGTAGCGACTTTGGGGGGTGTACGATAAATAACAAACCGAACGCGGGAAAGCAAACATTCTAGCTCGGTGCATTATCAAATATTGACCCTCGATTTACAAATATAATAAACTCGCTCGAACGGAGAAAAAAGAAAATACCGAGCTATAAATAAGCAGGTGTAAAAGCGCCTCAAAGAATTGTATTGTTCGAATTATCATGAAAAACGATAAGACGATTCGGTCTATAAGCTTTCTCACCTGTTTCCTGACTTATAAACGATCATTAATACTCAATAACGACGAAATAATTACCAAGGGGGATGTTCGATAATAACGACCGTAGATTACCGGTAGAGGAATGCAAAGAATGGAAAAATTTAAATAACTTCCTTGCACGAATTTCTGAGCAAATATTTTAGAACCAATCAATTTAGAACTGTGTAGAATTATTTAGAACCATTTTAGAACTGAATAAGACCATTTGAAACAGTTCAGAACCACCTTAGAACTATTTAGAACAGATCAAGAGTTGTTTGTATTTTTTCTGTAACAACCAATAAATAAACTACACGTTAATTTCAGAAAATTAACACCCACTTAACCTGCTCTATCCACTCAAATGTTCGCTCATGCATATCAGGAAATCGTCGAATATGGTAGATTCGATGAGCGAGAGCGAGACGGCACTAGCGAAACTTAACAGAATTCGACCCAACTCTCATTTACATGAGCATAATCTGACGTTTGCAGTCAATTTGTTGTTTGAATTACGGTCCATAATAATATTTATGACACGAACTAATGTTAAACGTCAGGGAATATCAACCGGCCAACTAGGATTGTAAGTGTTAGATCGTGTAACATCTAGAAGGCCTCGAATGTTATTCGTTGGGCGATTTTAGATCGTACATCGCAGTTGGCAGGTTTAATTCGAACTTAATTGGAGTAATTTCTGCGCCGACCGGGCGTTGTATAAAAGGTGTACCGGTCGAGGAATAATTAATCGACGAAACAATAACGTTAAATACATCTTTTCCGCATCGGATCTATACAGTCATCGTTTAAAACAAACCGAAACGACCGACATTACGCACTCTAAACAATCCCCGTGTAATTACCGAGCACTCAAGCACGGCTAATGCCTCAAACAGAAATCACACATGCTGAAAAATCATCAAACGAGAGCTTTTTTCCTACGAAAAACGGAGGAAAAAAGCGCGGCCGGTTAGTGTCTAGTGGATCGCCATAGTCGAACGAAGGTGTAACGTACTGTGATTCTTCGGGTGTGATTTTTTTCACGGAACGTGCATCCGTTGAACTTGGAACAATAATAAATTGGATTATAATGACAGTACGAGGCGCCCGAGCGTAAAACCATCGCGCCCATCGCATCCTCGGGACACGGATTGGTTTCGATATAAACCATCAAATCTAAAAAAAGAAACCTATATCGCCCATATGGAATATATCCAAGAAATTGTTAATAATAGATCCTCCAGTTTGTAAAGCAAGTAAGAATCACCCTCTATTTCTTTTTGATATAACTAATAATCCGTTGTTGTAATTCTTAGATGATATTGTTTCCTCTTCCATCCTTAATTCGAAACATGTATTATAGATACACACGAACGTTCGAGAGTAAGTATATGTACGCATCCAGACGGCACGGACCGGAATATATGCAAACCCCTTTCTTGTAATTTACAGGAATAAACATTAGCGCTACTGAAAGCAATAAAATAAATCAAGCAGCCGAAGAACGTCGCAGTTCTACTAATGGGAAATATCGGGAGAAGGAGGAGGCCGGGACCGCAATGCAACCAGCCGCCTCCCCGGCACCCGGCCGCCCACCCCCGGCGCGCCCGCCGCCTTATATATTTCTCTTCTCTCGCCTCCTCGCACGGCCGCAACAGAAAACAACAAGGCGATATAGAGCTGTTGAGGAACATCGTCGAAGATTGTCGAAATATGCGACATGTATATTCGCAAACTCGTTGCTGTTGGGATTAAGAAGTTTCGCTTCGGGAGAATGTAATTATAGTTTATTTGTAATTGACAATTGTATCATAATAATATCATAATAAAAAACAGTGTTACTCACAGAAATATTACCCATCCATCAAAATTCCTCCTATTTATACCTCTTCAAAACTATCTAAAACTGTCTAGAATCATTTAGTACCATTTTAGAACTGGCTAAGACCATTTGAAACAGTTTAGAAACACCTTAGAACCATTTAAAACTGTTCAAAATCTTTTAGAACAGATTCAGGACTATTTTGAACATTTATAAACTCTTTCAGGGCTATTTAGAATGTTTCAATTGAAAAATCTACTAATTTAGTGAAATAGTTTATTTTTATTATTTATATACAATCATCATATAAAAATCTTGTAATCTATAAAATATATGTGTACTATACCTACTTAGATTAGTTTTAACAATATGACAATAGGTCTATTGATATCCACTATACTTAGTTAATTATTCGAGTGGATTTTAATTCAACCGAAGGCCCATTAATAAAAAGTAAACAATTCACACTTAGTTATTATTTCAAAATATCTGAGTCATTTCGTTCGTGTGAACAAACTTACTTTATTAGGATATCATTATTAAAACTCGTAATTAGTCGTTCGAGCCGAATGTTCCCTTCGTTACGTTACCGTCTTGCGTCCCGCTCGCTCCCGCGCGATCCGGACGATGCCAGAAGGAGAGCGGGCGAGTTCGGCGTGACGACGGAATTATCTCAATTAAAAACAAATGACTGGTGCCCGCATCTTGGCGCTTAATTAGCGTCTACTTCGGACGAAACTAACTGAAGTTCGTTAAGTGCCATAATGAATATTTAATATATTTTTCACTAAATTTTATTGTCCGGCCGAACGCCATAAGGGTCGACGGGCGTCACGCGAATTCCCCAATCGAACCTTCCAATAACAACGAAAACAAAACAAAATTCGCGATGTAATCAAATTCCGATTGAATGGCGTCGCTCCGGGCGCTTGGTGTGTATACCTTCGCACAAAACGCGCCCGCTACATATTTAATCGGCGGAAAAATCAAACAAAACTCGAACAAATCGAAACGAATGAAGCGCGTAGCAAAAACAACGACGGGCCCATCAAAATTCATATCAATCAAAGCCGTTCTGTTTTCCGATCGCCGCGCGCCCGTCAATTCCGAACAAAAACCGAAATAAATCATTTTCGTTTCGCGGCCCTTCAATCAATCCGCTAAAAACTCGAAACCATTGAAACGCGGAGCTCATTGACGCCGACGGCGCGGCGCTAACAAAAACGAGCAACGACGCTCGGCCCAATAGCCGTTAACAATGCCCGATTAATCCGGGCTACAAATGAATGACAAGTGACGCTGGGAAATAGGAGCATCGTCGACATTCGAAACGATTCCAATTTGTTTGGAAAATCGACCGGGACTCGATCATTCGCGTTCTGGATGGCTCCCTTTAGTCCCGGAAATTCCCGCACACAAATATGCACCAAAATCACTCAGATAAACTATGAAGGAATGAACCAGTTAAGTAAGTAAATACATTAATTATTTAGTATCATGCATCCACTATAACACGAATTATTTTAATTTTCATTCAACTTTTTAAATGGGTCGATTTTCGGTGTAATTTTCCCGGGCTATAAAATGTTTCACCTCGATAGCGACACGGCGAAATGACATCGGAACACGCCTTTAATCCGGATACCGCCATAAAATACCCCATTTTCCAATAAACAGATATCAATACCGACCTGTTGATTCCCGTGGGGTGGAAAAAATGCGATAAAAATACGGAAAAAAAGAGGGAGCCTCTATAGTCGATCCGTGATGCGACTATGCAAATGCGAGGCTTACGGGGAAACAGGGAAAAAACCGTCCCGGGATGGAATCGACTGTAATTGAATTAGAAGCGATCGTGATTGATCATTTATTTTATATAGGTCGAATGTCGAATTCAATTCGAATTGGATAGATGGAGAGATAAAAGTGATTAAATAATCGGTCCAATTTTTGTTATGTAGATATAAATGAGTGTGTGAATGATTGAGAGCTTTAGAATCACTTGTGCTATAAATTGGAGAAATATGTACCTAACTAATGCTCGATATTTTTTGTTGGAAAAGCTATTAGTAGAGCAGGTGGAAATTAATTTCCTGGGGCATCTGAAACGTAACGGAGTTTTCCCCAATTTTCGCCTTGTCAAATTAGAAACGAAACCAACAGCCCAAGAGAGAAACGGCCCCGTGTTATCGCGATAATGCGAAACAGTTCCAATGTCCATTAACGTAATAAATTTATTAATATGGGGGGTTTTTATATCCCGTTGTTCTACCGCGTTTTCCCTCATCTCTCGAAACGTCGTCCCCATCATTGGCCTAGTTATTTATAGTCGGGAGTTCGATAAGTAAGAAAGGTTTTCCACAAAAGGTTTCCGATTCGTACCGAGACACTCGTCCATATTGGATTTATAGGGTATTAAAGAACTACAAATCACACGGGTTGCCGGACTGCACGTTGAGACCAGTGAATTCAACAACTAATAAAATATGTCGGACGTCATTTCGTTATTTAGTGCCGTTTATAGAACATTAATTATTAATTTTAACCACTTCGATTCGGTCGCCGGCCTTTTATATCATTTCGGACCACAGACCATGCAGCCCTGTTTCTTTTTGTCAACCGTACAAACTGCGCGCCGGCATGACACTACCTACTCAATACATTTTTAAATCGATCATATACTCCAAATTTATTTAGTTAAAATAATGTAGGTACCTACATTCCTATTTACTATGCAATTTTTATAGTCTTCATTAAGTCTTAGCTATTTTATCTTTATAATTTAAAGAAATTAGTGAGTACAGAAATGTTATTATTGCATTTTGTATGCATATTTAAAAAATAAAATAGGAATGTTGTTGTAAAAAAATAAATATGAAAAATTTTATTATACAATGAGTGAATATTTGAAGTTGTGGTTGATGTATACTGGCACGCAGTACGGGGTAGGTACTAAGGTATTAATATCCGATTGTTAATGGATCTTTTTGTATTTTATTTTTTCAAAATACGTTTTGTTTGGAGTACATAATTCACGGCGTTGATAGGAAGCCGATTATTCACCGGCGAAGGTGAAAAATGGGTGGAATTTTGAGCTATGGGAAAGAATAATCGGCGGGACGTTAATTTATGTTCGATAAGCGCGTTTTATTCTTATTCCCTTTAGGTGGAATTAGTGAATTAGTTCCGAAATTTACACTCTACTAACACCGAAACGCGTAATTATTACAAGGAAAATTAATAATAAATGCGCCCGGCGAGCAATCATCGCGGAATCTAATTTCTTCGACAAACAGCCGCGCGCTTACCAAAAATTAAACATCGCAAAACCTTCTCCCGCTGTACCTTTCGCCAAAAAACAAAAGCGCCTACCTTTTCTCGGCCCGCCGCCCCGCCGCCCCCTCGGCCGGCCTGGCAATGTCGAGCGCCGGAAACAACAACCGCCTCGTCCATCTCACCCCGAAAACCGCCTCGCCAACATTTACTTAAAATCTAGTTAGCGGTCTAATCTAATATGAATTTTACCAAATAAACGTGGAAATAGAGAAACAAACGAACGTCTACCACCGGCGCTCAACCGGCAGGGCCCTTTCTAATAATTCATAAATTGAATGCTACAATCCCCGGTTCCGCATCAGTCGCGACACGGAAGCGCCGACGGGACGGCGAAAAGGGCCATTTCCACCCTTAATTAACCTAACATATTTCAATTACCTGCAGCGCTTTTAAATACAACATTTTCTACACTTCAATCCCGCACCATCTTACCCCAAAAAAAACTTACAAACACCTCCAATATTCCCTCTACTTTAAACGGGATATCTTCCACATGGAGCCGCCGCCTTTGAGTTTAAATCGGCGGCGGGCGAAAGTTCCACGGGGGGTGGCAAAGCGAGCCCGCCGGTTTTCTTAACCGAAAGAGCAAAATGCCCGTTCGCGGCGGTAATTAACTTTGTTTTCTATTATGCTGTATAGGTACCGGTTGACCGAAAGGCATAAATAATTCAATTTGGGGCGGCGCGCGACCCGCCGACCCCACAGATTACCCTTTACCTAGCCAGTGGCGCAAAATTACCCGACGAATCGAAATTTCGATTTTGAAAGGTACAATATCGTTTAACAGCGCGTCCGATAATGATATGATAATGATCTTTTCGATGATTATTAACGCAAGAATGATGGTATTTTATGGATATAACGTCGGTTTTTATGGTTCTTTATGCGATACAGATGATTGGTTAGTATTGCTTCGATGGTATTTCAAGAAACATAATCTCTGCATAAGAAACCAGATTGCCCAGAGGCGGCGCTGCTATAAGAGTGTAGGGAGTAATTAGAATATTATATGTATACAAAATAATTTGTTTCTTATATTAATTAATGATGTGTTATTAAGTAGGTATATAAAAATTGTAAATTTTGGAATTATGTTACTTATAACTTTGGTATAAAAATATTATTTGTGTCAGGAAATGTACGCCGCTGTGGAAGCCAACCCATACCGAACTTCACTTAATATAGAACTATAATTAAATGTGATATTTGTGTTTCCAATTTGCATTCCCATATTGGAATCGGGTCCTATCCTCTAGTTTATTAAGTCCTTTTTTTCGATCGTATTTAACGTCGATTTTACCAAGAAATACGATACGACGTATGGGATGTCTCTCTACCTGAGCATCACCAAATAAACATGTGGCTTATTATTGTTGTAAAAAGGACATTTTTAATAGAGTATTTGGGGGTGTTAAATGGTAGGTAATTAAATTTTTAATTAATGTTTAGAGTTGAAATTTAGAAGTAATAGTTTTTGATGTATATGTAGGTAATGTGCGTGCAAATTTATCCTATAAGAGGTATATGAATGTTGAATGATAATAATTTGAGTAAATAGGTATATTCGTTTGTTGAGAAAATAATATAAGAGACAGATATTATCGACAATAAAAGTTAATCGGGCAAGCCCGTCTCGTTATAAGACGCCAACAAATTTACGTTTATTAT